ACAGCCTTTCGGAAGAACATACAACAGGTACTCATCTTTGAAGGTCTGTCTGCCAAGTAAAAAAGCCTTTTAACTTCCCCAGAACTTCAGAACCAAAACTATTGTTTTAAAAGGAGTTACTCCCATTTGAGCATCCCTAGTCTAACATCACTAGTTCATCTATATGTAGAATAAACTGGAGTACCTCTTCTTTCCCCAGGTCAACTGCCTACTAATCCCAGTTACTAACCTCAATAAAGGCAGAAACACTGTAGTGTGAGGTACAGAAAATTTACTGTACAGCCAAGCGTGCAACGCTGCTGGACACAGACAACAGCAACCTCGCTAGTTCAAAACTACAACTGAAGGTAATGGAAGAGGCATTAAGTACTTTATCTATACTTACCAAATCTTGTATGGAAGTCATTAGGACACCACTGTCCCCTTCCAATCACTTTAACAACTCTTACTATACGGTTGTTGGTTTCCCCTCCAAACATGAAAAATGCCACACCTGTGCTACCCAGTACAAAGGTAGCACAATTTCAAAATACTGTACTTAGAAAAGAATCAAGTCAGAAATTTCATCAGCATGGTTGCTAGAGCTGTCCAGTCTCTTTCAGTCAGTCCTATTGAAAGTATAAAACTTGATTTTGCTTGCTACTCCAAACACCTGCACCAGAATGCCCATGCTTAGCCTCACCCAGCCACTAACCCCATCTTAAATGGCTCCTTTAACACTACAAGGTGAAAAATCAGGGGTGTACTGCACGGTTTGCAGACCAGAGTCATACGCCAGACCCTGCCTTGACAACTCAGGAACAAAAGACAAGTCATGCCTGACTCCGCCATTAGCAAAAATCTCAACTGTGGAAGTATGCAGCTCTCAGTATCTCTTGCCTACGTGTTTTATTCTACCTTCAGCTATATTCTACAGGTCTACACAATACAGGCAGTCAAACACATACATCTTAAAGAGACTTTCCAAACCAGTTTGAACACCAGATGACAACAGGAACTAATGCTGCCTGCTTGGAATTAGGTTGTACCACCACCCGTAGAAAGCTCCGATTCACTTCATATTGATACTCAAAACAAGAGTTGTTTAGTTATGAAAAGATTTTAATTCAGTGCACAGTGCACCAATCTTGAATTTCTCAAACTTTACAAAATGGTAGCTTTCAAACCAAAACTGAAGGACACACCAGCGTTTTCTTGACACAGTTTATTTGATGTTAAAGCCAGATGAGCAGCTGCTTTCCAGAATAATTCTTTCTATACTTCTTCATAGAATAACATAGTCTGTAAAGGAAGAGACAGATCAGTGTCACATGGTTAAAACAATTTTTATACTCATACTTTTATAGAGCCTGGAAAATTGGTTCCCAAACAACTCAGGTGAACCACACTGACTCGCTTGGAAGAACACACAGTTCAAAATTTCACACTACTGTCATGGGAATAAGCGAGAGCCTAGATTACACCATTTCTGTAGAAGAGCTCAAAAAGCTACAATTGCTTTACCAGCTTACTGTTTAAGACATTACACTCACTACATCAGCTCCCAGACAGACTGTTTAAGTTACTGTAAAATGCGTCATTCAGACCATTTGTAATAAAACCAGAGTTTTGCCTTTAATAGTTATTGCCCACAGTACATCCATCCCACATACATTTCTGCAGCCCAGATATAAAAACATAGTCTAGGATTTGTTTAAACTACTATCAGGTTGGTTTTTTATACAGAATTTACTGAAAACATAGGAAAACAGACATTCATCCTCAAAATAGAACTCATACTACTTCAATCTATTTAAGACAACAAAAAACAAGGTGTACTATCCTCTCCTTGGGGTACCTACAAAGGAAAAATTTAAGCCTTGCTTATGGTAACACTGAATAAGCAATAGTTTTAGCAACAGTACATCTGATCTGTATGATTTATTATTTCAGTCTTTATACTATAACATAAATTAGCAACTTGGTAGTAAGCAGAACAGTCTTTTTTAGTCTTAAACTCTTGCACTGGGCCCTGTATCAGCATAGTACCATGGCCTTTGCATAAATCACATTAGACCTATGTCATTTTAATGACTACAGGCTACTGAATGTCCACCCTTGCAAACCATTCCCAAGTCGTACCTGTTATCCATTTTCCATCTGAAGTAGGTTCATTTACTAAAAAGAAAGAGCATTAATTAATAAGAGAACAGTTTTATCAAAGTTCTACTACCACAGAAAATGGAGCTTTAAGGCTTTTTGCTGACACTCACAATATGCTTTTTTGAATTACCACAGTGAAATGTGATAGGAAAATTTCATAGTTTTGACTCTACAAAACTACATAGTTTTGTAGAGGCTGAAGACTTACATTTCATACATTCCCTCAAAGTGAAATGGGACTTCACAATAGCTGTTCAGAGCTTAGGTAATACTCAGAATGCAATTACATTTTCAATTATACCTACAGGCTACAATGGTTTAGAGTCCCTATGCATCCATGCTTGGTTTTGACCAAGTTTGGTTGTTTTTTTTTTTTTTAATATTTGGAAGGCTCACATGTCAAAGGCTGCCACAATCACAGTTGTGACATTAAAAGGTAGAGTGGGGATTTTTTTTGCATTTGCTCCGAATGCAATTTCTAGGTGAGGGGCCTTCACATCTACTTGTTGCAAACTTTTATGTGAGGTGGGGTTTTTTTTTGCATTTGCTCTGAATGCAATTTCTAGGCGAGGGGCATTCACATCTACTTGTTGCAAACTTTTATGTGAGCTCAATTAACTATAGAGCTACAGAATATATTAAATAACACTACTTTAAATTACTTCTCTTGAAACTGCAAGGAAAACAGAATGGGAATTCTGAAGGAGTGTGAAGTGAAAAAAATTAAAGAAAATCTCTTAACAGTCAAACATCAGCACAGTCGATATCTGACTTAAGTTTAATAAAAAATATTCAAGAATGATTCACCATTTCAGTAGTTTTCATGATTACATAGTACATAACTCTTAGAACAATACAGACTTGCCTGAAGATGTCTCAGAATCAAGTGCCTACACATTTCTGAGATACAGTGTTTTCAGACTGCAGATTGTGAAGGCAGACTCCAAAACATATTCCAGGACTCCTATTAAAGATTCCTCCACATGGCCGTGATAAATAAAGAATGTTGAACCATGCCATACCATTATGTTTAAACATGCGTTTTTCAAGGCAAAGCTTTAAGACACAAGTGTATTCCCCAAGGTTTTTTTTTCTGTGATGCGGCACAGAACTCTTCTCAACCAAGTTTTCCAGAAAGCACGTAAATTAGTCTTTAGTTTAAATCTAATGTGAGGACACAAAGATTAACAAAACTGGTGAACAAGTAAGGTCTAACCCATGCATACTATTTATCGACTAAAAGATAATTTTAAAAAGACATTAAAAAAATCTCTACTCCAAAATACAGTTTGCCTACTACCGAGATTGCATGCTAATTTGAGCAGCACAAAATACAGAAGTCACATCTGCTACATAATTCTCACAGCATATGATCCTGGTCTTGATTTCTAAAGTGTTCATACACTTTAAGATAATTTCTAGGAACTGGACAGCTTTAGTAATTGAAGTGACAGTTATTTAACCACTTTGTATTAACACTCAAGAACAGCTACCTTCAAGTGCAAAATTCTTGAAGTTAAGAAGTTCACCCATACTACTGGTACAAGTGCAACACTAAATGACTCCCTTCGCATTCACAAGAGGGGGCGTATTAGTGTTACTACTACACCAAATGCTAATTTGTACTGTTAAACAATTGGAGGACTTCATTATTAAAACAGCATTAAAGCAGAAAGCGAAAGGGCTCCGAATCACAGCAACATGGATTTGTTTCCATTCAATGACAACAAGCTCCACTTACACAGTAAGTGAAGAATCTAATTTCACAGATCAATCACTGTGGTTTGTGTCTTAACTTGAAACACTGCAGAGCAATAGTTAAATACAGTTTAAAGGTGACAAATGTCTTTTCCAACCACCATCTCAAATGCACAAAGCTGTGATGTGACTTAGTTTTCATGAAGATACACAGTTACTTTCACACGAAGCTCAAGTCACACATGCAACTGCACTGTACTACTTTGATTCAGAATCTGGGCTGATTTGAACCAATGCCTTAAAATCAGTAACATTCAGTTTTTGATTTCTTCTTATTTTATTGTTGCTTCATTAGTTTCAAAAATCTTGTTCATGATTAGCCAAATTCTATTTCTAAATCACACGGAATAAAGTTCATTACGTAGTTATTCAAACTCTCACAGGACACAATCAAGTTTAAAACAAACATGCATGCATGCAAGGCAGTACAGCGCTTAAAAGGATGGACGCATATTTCAGTGACGTATTATTCAGTTACCACATCCATGCTCATTTTCAGTACCTGCTTAGATACTTCATTTCTGATGGAGAATTCCAAGAAAGCAGAAAAAAGCAAAAGTGAAGATTACTAAAGTTGGTATGTCAAAGCACTTTAGCAGCTACTGAGCCATGTGTCAAAACCCATTCCCCTATCTTCCCTTGTTAAAACACCTGAAAAAACCCACCTAGCTGCACAACTTACTCAGCAGAGGACAAAAAAGCTGCTAAGTAAAGATGGCTGCCTTCATACCCAGGCTGTTCCTCAGTTTTGGTGTTTTTTGTTTAAGAATGCTGGTACTGTGTCTCCCTCCAAGCTGCACATCTGACAAGCTTGTATCAAGCTCCAGCCTCAGCCTAAGAAGCTCCCACCAAGGAGGGGAAACCCACTATCTTGGCAGTCAGTCACTTAAAACCAAGATAAAGTAGACATTTTACCTCATTTCCATTTACACACTGTTCTCACTACCTACACTACCACACATCCTTAAAGTCTCCTCTACAAATAACACCATAAACAGCAGTACCTTGGTGCAGTAAACATTAGATATTAAGGTAGTCCGAGTAACAAGTGTTAGAAATATCTAATTTGTATATTGCAAGGCTGAGTTACAAGATTAGAGCAATACTGTTAGATTTACAGAAGCTGTCCTTTAGTTCAAGTGACACAAAGGCAACAATCATTTAAGAAATATTGTTTCACATTATATCAGCTAAGCTTACAGCAGTGAGGAGCAAAACTAAGCTACTGAGCTGGTAAGAAGCTATACAACACCACACAGATTACCTTCTGTTATCCAGTAGAATAGATGAAAGAAATGGAAGAAAAACAATGTTACTCTGTTGAAGAACTTCTAATCAATGTTTCAAAGGCAACACACTCACTCTAGCCTACAGATATTCTCATCCTACCTTCTTGCCAGCACCAACATTTGCCTTGGCAGTGCCCCTGACTTTCTTCATTCTGTTCTTACGCTCCTTTCGCTGCTTCCTAGAAGTCTTCTTCTTCTCATACAATCCGTGCTATTTAAAAACAGTTAAAGTCACATTTAACTTTTTTTTACCAACAGGAACATCTGAATTTAAGTTTTACTGTTTCTGAATCCTTCAAACACTTTTTAAGTTCAAAATACTAGCCAAGTGGTGAGACGAGGCCTTAGTTACCAAATGATTCGGCACAGAATACGGACACTGAAGTCGTGTTTTTATCAGTCTGACCCCTCAGGTTTCTTCAAAACCTTTAATAGTGGTTAGTTACCTATTACTGCTAAAACATCACTTGTAACACAAATTTTGCCTTTGCAATTCCCCTATAATAAACAATGAAAAACTAAATAAAAACTACATTTTGCAAAGGCAGAAGCTAGCCTATGCTATTTCAGGACCTCTTGGATAACTCTGAGTACACCAACAGTACTTTCACAAAACTTTAGCTTTTATCATGAACACTTAAATTATGAACCACTAAACACTTCAAATCCATCCTAATAGCTTTCGAGTTACCAGAAAACAACTTACCCTGGCAAGCCTGTGCTTTGGTTCGTTTTTCTTTGCATAGTCCAGAGAATCATAGATCATGCCAAAACCTGTTGTCTTGCCACCACCAAAATGAGTTCTGAAGCCGAAGACGAAAATTACATCAGGGGTCGTCTTGTACATTTTTGCCAGCTTTTCCCTGATTTCTGTTTTGGGGACTGTGGCCTTCCCAGGATGAAGAACATCAATCACCTAAAAAGAAATTTTTACAAGTTATATAAAAGCAAAAGAGGGTCAATATCCAGTACGACAGTCAGCTGCTGCAGTCCCACCATGAGTTTAACGTTTGAACTAACCCACTTCAGTAGCAGAAAGTATTATTAATTTGATAAGAAAGGCTTCATAACTGTTTTCTGCTTCAAAAAACCAGCTCACTACCTCATCATCATGATTCACCTTCAGCATACATACACACATTTAAACCTAAAACCTCTTATGGTAAGAGCTCTGGAGGTTTTAAGGGCCCCTTACTTATAGTGGCAAATGAACAACTGCAGCCCAGAACCAACAGGTAAATAATTAAAGGCAATTTCATATATTCTTTTACCATCTGCTTGCGCTGAAGCAGTCTGTTTGTCATGAACTTCCTGGTTCTAATGGTCACTGTGTCATTCTGCAAGTAAAAATACAAAGTAGTAAGACAAAACCATCATGACATGTACCAAAACATTAACATGTAACAATCATTAACAAATATATAAGTTAACACACAGTACAGCAACAAACAGTAGTCTCTCAGATGCTAACAGCGAACTTTTTATCTAAGCAGACTGGTCCTGGGCTACAGGAAGCACCCCCATTAAGTACAGTTTGATACATACTTTCGAGTACATTGACCAGTAATAAACTCATCCCCAGTTTCCAAACAACACAGCAACACACATACTTCCACCATTCTGAAAAGCTAAAGGAACTTTTAGTGAAATACATGGAGTTCCCCCCAAGCAGTACAACGCACATTTCTTTAACAGACCTACGTGCCACTGCTTTCTTAATGCTTTCAGACAAGAACAGCCAGACGCCTAACTGATGCGCGCCCACAACAGATGCGACCCTATAACATCTGAAGCGAAGTGCGGTGTTACACCACGACCAGAGCCCAGGACTGCCCTTACCGACCGGCAGCCCGGCGACGCCGCAGGCCAAGCGCACGCCCCGGCTCCCAGCCCGGAGCTCGCCAC